TGAAAGTAGGGTGTTGAAGTCCCTCATTACTATTGTACTGGAGTCTATATCTCCCTTTAGATCCATTAACATTTGTTTTAAATAGTCAGGCACCCTGGCATTAGGTATATACATTTATTATAGTCATATTTTCCTGCTGAATTGATCCTTTAATCATTACATAGTGCCTTTTGTTGTCTCTTAACAGTTTTTGTGTTGAAGTCTATTTTGTCTAGTATTAGGTGGCTACATCTGCTCTTTTTTGCTTTCCATTAGCATGGAATATCTTTTCCTATCCTTTTACTTTCAGTCTGTAGGTATCTTCGTTGGTGAGGTGTGTTTCTTGTAGGCAGCAAATAGATGGGTCTTGTTTTTTAATCCATTCAGCCAGCCTGCATCTTTTAATTGGAGAATTTAGGCCATTTACATTCAAGGTTATTATTGATAAGTAACAATAAGGTTACTAACTTGGTCCTGTCATTTTTCCAAATATTCCTATTGTTTGCTCTGGATTTCCTTTGTACTTTTACTGGGACATTTTCTGCCTTCACATTCTTTCATAATGATGACCATGTTTCTGTGTGTGTAGCACAATCTTAAGCATCTTTTGTAGGGCTGGATGAGTAGTAACAAATTCTTTCAATTTCCTTTTGTTATGGAAGGTCTTTAGTTCACCTTCATTCATAAATGAGAGTTTTGCAGGGTACAGTATTCTGGGTTGAAAGTTTTTCTCTTAAGACTTGAAATGTATCTTGCCATTCTCTCCTAGCCTGTAGAGTTTCTGTTAAGAAGTCAGCTTTGAGTCTAATCTGGGATCCTCTGAAAGTAATCTGGAGTTTCTCTCATGCACATTTTAGAATTTTTTTATGTTTTACTGTTAAAAGTTTGACTACAATGTGTTGTAGTGAAGATCTTTTCTGGTCAGGAGTTTTGAATTCCATTTCAAGCATTTCATCAATCTCTTCATCTTCACATTCTAATGTCAAAGTGTCGATGTGTTCCTTTGTTGTGTGTGTGTGTTGGGGGGGTCATGTTGTCTTCCTTATTCTTGTTTCTTGAATTTCTGCAATTATTTTGAGGCATTTGTGGAGTTACTTGCTGTTGTTTTCCTCTGCTGGCTTTTCTCTTTGAACTATGCCTCTGTGGCTTGGTGGGTGCTCCTTCAGTGAATATCTTGAGGTGTGTGCTGGGTGTGGTCAGGGCTCTGGTCCATGCTCCAGGGTGGGGTGAGTATCAGGGTGAAACCCACGCTGGATGTGGCAGAGCTCCTCTTGTTGACAGGAAGGTATGGTCACCTCTGTTGGTGTGATCACACTCTCACCTCCTCTCTTCCACGGTGATCCACACCTGGGTGTCAGCCACAGTGGGCACAATGCTCATCTGTGCTGCTCTCAGTGTGAGCACCAATCCTGCTGCAGTGACTCGCCCCAGGCAATCAGGGAGCTCTGGGCACATGGAGCCACACACAGAGACCCAGCTATCCCCTGCACCCTCTCATGAAGTCAGAGTCCCCACAGTTACAGGGTACAGAGGGTCCATTCCACCCTGCTAGCCTGTGCCATCCACGGAGGGGCGAGACATTTCCAAAGCCAGCTGCCTGTGAGTGCTCAGTCTAGGCAGTCTGAGCCCTGGAGCCTGTGATATGTTGAGAGGATGGGGCTCTTCACAGTCCTACATGGATGCCCCGCTCCTTTCAATCTTCTCAGCCAAACTCAAAGTCAGTGGGGAACATGGATTTTTCCCTCTGGTAAAAGAGGGAAAAACAAGAGCTGCCGACTGCAGCCCTGCCAGTTGCCAGGCACACACAGGAGCCTCTGCAGTCTGTACTGATGTCAGAATGGCTCCTCCTCTCTGCCCACTGCACCTGAGCTGCTGTGGCTGCTGCTGTGGCAGACGGTGTCTTTTTTTTTTTTTTTTTTTTTTTTTTTTTTTTGACAGGCAGAGTGGACAGTGAGAGAGAGAGACAGAGAGAAAGGTCTTCCTTTGCCGTTGGTTCACCCTCCAATGGCCGCCGCGCTGCGGCTGGCGCACCGCACTGATCCAATGGCAGGAGCCAGGAGCCAGGTGCTTTTCCTGGTCTCCCATGGGGTGCAGGGCCCAAGCACCTGGGCCATCCTCCACTGCACTCCCTGGCCACAGCAGAGGGCTGGCCTGGAAGAGGGGCAACCGGGACAGAATCCGGCGCCCCGACCGGGACTAGAACCCGGTGTGCCGGCGCCGCTAGGCGGAGGATTAGCCTAGTGAGCCGCGGCGCTGGCCGGCAGACGGTGTCTTGTCCCTGCCACCTGATGGGTGCATGCACAAGCGGTACATAAGCTGCAGCTTATGTACAAAGTGGTGCCCACCCTCTCCCAGCTGGTGGCCGGGTGCCATTGTGTGGGGGTGGAGAGAGTGAAACACACCCCCTTTCTTCCCCCGCTTGTGTTGGCGGGCACCTTGTTGCCCTCAGGGCTCCAGGCCAGACTCAAAGGCAGTGTAGTCGGCTAGGCTCTCCCTCTGGTTCTACCACCAGTGGCACAGGCTGCTGCAGTCTGACCTCACCTTGCTCTCAGAAGCTGGCACTTGCTCTGGCTCTGGCTGCTGGGGCCCGTACTTGTCGCTGTGAGTCTGCACTACCATGCAGATCCATGGCATCCTTCCTCCTTCCACTGCACTCCAAGTTCCTGCAGTTCTACTCTCCCCTAAGAATGCACTATCCATTTTTTTTTTATTTTTTTATTTTCCCCTAGCCTGCAGCAGTATGCCCTTACCCTAGTCCACCATCTTGGAATCTTGTCATTTGCTAAATTTATGTGTTAGGAATATTTTCTCCCAGCCTGGGGTACACCTATTTGGTTTCCTTATAGCATCTTTTTGTGAGTGAAAGTTTAAAGTTTGGATGAAGTCCACTTTATCATGTTTTAAATGGTCACTGACTCACAGCCTCAGACTCTGGCCACGAGCCTCTGCCTCCTGGTGTCTTCCGCAGCCCTCAGAGTTTCAGCTATTTTCATAGCTTTTCCGGCAGCGGGGGCAGGGGCTGTGATCCACTTCCCAACCATGTGGCCGCTTCTGTCCCACAGCTCACAGCACACACCCTGCTCCACTGACTGGCTTTGGACTTAGCTAAAAATCACCTGACTCCATCAGTGAGTCTGTTTCTAGATCCTTTATTCTGTGTTGATTTCTTTATCTTTATGCTGCTGTTACATTTTCCTGAGCGTGATGTTTACTAGTTTTATCGCAAACCACCCACCCTTGATTTTTGCTAATTCTCTAATTTTTCATTTTCTATTTCATCATCTGCTCTCACTTCCTTCCTATCTACTTTGCTACTGATTTAGTAAATTTTAAGGTGCAAGTGGAGTTCCTGATTTTATCAGCTCTTAAAGTCACAAAGTCACACTGTCACACTGCAAACTGTGTTAGCTGCATCCCACAAAAGTTTTCATTGTCATTAAATTTCACTTCTAATTCCCTTTGTGTGTGTGTTTTTTTTTTTTTTTTTTTGCCTTGGCTACTTAATTCCCAAATGTTTTGTATTTAAGATGTTTTAATGATTTCTGGTTTAATTCTGTGTTGATTGCCACAGAACGTCTTAGCATAACTCATATTTGAATTCAGTGTCTGAAGTGATGGATTCAGAAAGTGCAGCCTTGGCGGATGACTGGGACCAGTGCCCTTGCAGAGACCTCCCAGCAAGGGAGGGCACAACGAGAGGCACTGTCTGGCCAGGGAAGCCCTTGCCAGGCACGGAATCTTCCATCACCTTGACTTTGGATGTCCAGAACTGTGAGGAACAAACGTCTGTCACTTGTAAGCTTCTGTGGTTATAGAATTCTGTGACAGCAGAATGTCCTAACACAGTGGTCATAAAACATACTTTGCATGACTTCAGCCACTTAAAAGTTATCAAGACTTGTCTGATGGTCCAGAATACGATATTTTGTGGGCATGGAACCAAGTATATTCCACAGGGCAGTGTTCTCTGGATGTCAATCAGGCCAAGCTGGCTAACAGTGCTGTTCATGTCTGCTTTATCACGACAGATGTTCCCTACTCCTCTGCCAGTCTCCTAGAGGATGAAAATCTCCAACTGTCAGTGTTTACTTCTGTTCAGCTTCCTAGTGGCACACGTGTAGGACTGCTACCTTCTTGCTAAATGACCTTTTCCCCGAGTGTGTTAAGTCCCTTCCACACCAAGCCAGGTTCATGACAGCAAACTGCTGCCACGAATGGTTCTCTAAAACACTCAGTGCTAACCAAAGGCATGAGAAACACCACACAAAGCTGGAGAGTGCGGAAGCCGAGTCTTCATTCTGAACAAAGGCCCACCATGGTCAGCGGGGTGGCTGGCAGCTGGGACCCCCACCCATAACGTCCCCCACAGCAGTCTGTGGCCCAGATCAAAGCCAGGATCTCGCCTGAGTCTCAGCCCATTGAAGACATCGCCATCAAATTTACTCCTGGAGCACAGGTGTGGGGACGTCCAGCTCCCCACAGCCAGGAGGCCTCGTGTCCATGGGTCCAGAACAAGCAGAATGCATGGCAGCCTAGCAAGGGCACAGGCGATGAGAACCCACACATGTCCTGTCACACACACAATGCGACTCCAGAACTACAGACGCCCTCCTCTTCCTCGCAGGTCTCCCTGCCTCCACCAGGCCCAGGGTGGCCAGCCTTGTGCCATGCTGGTGCCACAGAGACCGGGGCCAGGCCCCTTGCTGCCGTGACACCCTATGTGCAGGACGTGTCCCTAGCAGGAGTTGTGTCTGTGGCAGCTCCTCCCCTCCATGGAGGATGGCATCCCCACAGGCTGCCACAGGCCTCCCCGGAGTCACGTCAGGCTGAAGCAAGTGACAGCAAGAAGTCACTGAGTGCCTGAATCCCTTAAAAAGACAGCATTGAGCCCTTCTTGGGTCCCAGCCACTGCATGCACCCCACACCCCCTCCCTGCTGTCACCTATCTCCCAGGAAATCTCAGGTCCCTGCATCTGCTCCTTGACCCCAGTCCGGCCATGCTGTGGCCGCCAGCTACTCACTCAAGGATGGAATGAGTGACTGCCTGTGGGTGGTAGCGGTACAGAAGGAGGCTCTGGTCCACACGGACGACCCCACCGCCCTTCCTGAGGTGCTGGTAGAAGAAGAGCAGGTCCTCGGGCTCCCCCTGCAGGAGCAAGAAGAGCAGCCTGTCACAGTCCTCACCATGTCAGGGTCAGAACCCCCGGAGAGGTGCTTGTTGCCAGAAGCCAGTTCAGAGGCTGAGTGCACGGAGGCAGTGGGGGTTAGCAACTCGGTCTCTCAAAAGGTGGGAAAACGGATCCTAATTGGGGCTTGAGAGACGCAGAGCAGAGGGTGGTAGGGATGACAACTCTGGCCTGCTTCTGTCCCAGATCCCACTTTGTTGAGCAGAAAAGATTTGGGGGTAAGCAGTGGGGTGGGTCAGGGTCACGGGTTCGCTGGGCCCAGGTCTGGCCTCTCTCCCATGGCTGACCACTGGTGCACAGCCCTGACTCCAAGCGGATTCACTAAACACCCACTCTGGGTTATCGGAAACCCTGCTTTGGAGCATCACCTGCAGGCTTGTCTCCTGGACTTTTCCATCTTGGGAGAACAGCACCCCTCTGAGCTGCGCCCCCGGGGCAGAGCGTGGCAGGAACCATGGTGACTCCACATCTTGTTGTCTTGACACCAGACACTGCCAGCTTCAAGCTCTATTTTCCTTTGCTGCAGCCATGGCCCCACCAAGGACTGATCCCCGATCTCTGGTGCCTGGCCCTTGGGTCCCGAGTCCCCAGTTCCTGGCCCCCTGGCCATGGCCCCGAGCCCCGGCACAAACAACGGCAGACTTCCCTCTACTCTGGAGCCTCTGCTGCAGGCAGAGCACTGACGGGGCCCAGGAGGCCGGGTGCACTTTGACTCCTGAGACTGCCCTTGCTGCAACTGAAGGGCTCACATGGGCCTTGACCTGTGCTCTCCGTGGACATCCTGTGAGCCATTTCCCACAGTGGGTTTTGCAGCAAAACACGAACAGCAGCATCTTAGCCTCACCTGCATGGGTGTGGAGGTTCCTGGCGCCCACAGGTGAATACAGGGCCCCATGGGCACAGAGGCCACCCCTCCCTGGGAAGGCACAGCTCTTACCAAGGCCAAGGTCCCCAGGGCAGGTGGTGACCACCATGTGTACACACAGGCTCCCGCCATTTGCATTAATTTGGGGGAGTCAGGAACACGGGGACTGTGTCACAGGCCTGACACCCTAACATCAGGAAGAGAAAGTTCCTGTGAAAAACAGATCTTCAGGCCCTGGCCCTGCTGCCTGTGAGGCAGGCAGGGGGCACTGCAGCAGGGAGGGCGTGGTGGGGCCTGGTACAGGAGGCCCCTGACATTGTCAACTCCAAGAAGGTGCTGCTGGTGCAGACAGCTGGTTTATGTATCAGGGCAGATGACTGTGCCTGGCCCCCTGGTTTGGGAACATGGGAAGGGTGCTGCTCACTGGATGGCAAAGGCACCAGGGGCTGACCTGAAAGGAGTCCCAAGTGTGGTTTGCTCACCGGATGGCAAAGGCACCAGGGGCTGACCTGCTCTTGTCCTGCTCTGGGAGAGTTCCCAGCAGCAGCGCAGGATGACCCTGAGTGACGGTCCTGGCCAGGGCCCAGCCAGGAGGGGGCAACAGGAAGCTGGTTTCTCCCTCCAGAATGAAGCAGGATGGATGGAGGGTGGGTACAGAGGAGCCAGCAGAAACTGGCAGAGGCTTGTTGGGACCAGAGAGGGGGATGGCAGGGACCATGCTGCTGGTCCATGGGGTTCCTGTGCAGTTGGCAGATGCTGACCGCATTGTCCGGATGAGAAACTAAGGCTCAGAGCAGGAGGGGTGGATGTGGCCTTGGTCACAGGGACAGGACGTGGAGACTGGACCCTCTGCTGGCCTCTGCACATCTAGGCTCCCTCCCACCCACCACCTAGGCGCCTACTCTGCCACTGCCCTCCAGTACCCCGGGCATCCCACACGCAGCTCCAAAGCCCGAATGAGGCCACCTGGAACAAAGCCAGCGAGACATCCCCATCCCAGCCTCACAGAGATCCCAGGTTCAGTGAAACACTGGAGCACTGTGGGCACCGTGGTGGGGCTGGAGGTCCCTCAGCAAGGCCCAGGACAGCAGACAGCCTGACACGCAGGGAACCCACCCCCGGGCTAACAGAGGCCCCTTCCTCTGGCACTTACCTGCCCGCCCTCCTCAAATGGGCCCACGTGGGAGAACCATGCGCGGGAGCAGAACCAGGTGGGCATGATCACCGTGGGGCCGTGAGAGGTGAAGACCTAGGGCAGTGAGCACCAACAGGGTGAGCGGGGAGCGGCGCCGACACAGCCCACACAATTCACGTCTGCCAGAGCCTGTCCCTTCTCTGCAGAGCAGGTTCAAGACACCGCACAGCTGACCCCAGACCAAAATGTCCTCAAGGCCGACGGGTACAGGGAGGCCTTCTCCAGGCCACGTTCCCATGCCAAGTGGGTGTCCTGCTTTCAACAGACAGCAAAACTTCTTGTGAGGATCAAAAATAAAGTCGGGCTCTTATTCATAAGAAGGAAACCTGGAAACAGCTTGAAAGGTTTGGAAATCTACTGGAGAGCCGCAATGAGATAGGTTCCTAGAAAGCCAAAAACCACCAAAGCTGCCACAGAAGAAACAGAAAACGTGAACTGAAGACACTGTAGCAGTCAAGGTCTCCCCACTCAGACAGAGCTGGACCCCAGGGCTCCGGGGGCCACGTGCCTGGGGGACGCATGATGGCCTACAGCCCTCACTCAAACCCTGACAAAACCCTGAGAAAATGACATACCACCATCTCTCACGAGCAAACTCCAGCAGACTGAGTCTGTCACCAGGGACCATGACTGAGTAGGCTTCAGATCAAGATGGAAAACTGGGGCCACACATGAAAACCAGCCGATGAATAACACCCCAGTCATGGAGTATAGGACAAACACTGCATGGTCAGCTCCACAGGTGCAGGAGCATGGGACAGACCCTGGCTCCCTCTCGGGTAAACTACTTAACCAGAACTAGAAGGGGACTTCTTTAACCTGACAAAGGACATTGACAAAAACGACAGCCGATGTCATCGTTGAAATGGTGCAGTGCAGGAAGCCTGCCCGAGAGGTCAGGGAGATGACAGGGGCGGAGTCTTCCCCACTTCTGTCCACACTGCACTGCAAGCTCTAGCCAGAGCAATCAGCCACACAGAGAAGCAGCCGCAGCATGGAAAGGGTGGTGGGCAGCAGTCCCTCTACTGGCAGACGACAGGATCTTGTAAGCAGGAAACGCTGACACAGGTGTACACAATCTGTGCTGACACAGTCAGCCAAGTTGTAGGATTCAAAATCTCTAAGAAAACAAATCAATGATATTTCTGGACAACAGCAATGAAGAGTCCAAAAATGTAATCAGGAGAGCACTTCCATTTAGGAACAAATTTAGCAAAGGGAGTGCAAGATTTACACACTGAAAATTAGAGAGTATCTTTGAAGAAACGTAAAGACCTGAGCAACTGGAAAGGCAACCTACAGAAACGGACTGAGAGACCCAAAGCTGACAGCACACCAACACTGCCCAGCGGATATACACAGGCAGCACATCTCTATTAGAACCCCACAGCTGGGGCCAGCACTGTGGCATACCGGGTAAAGCCACTGCCTGCAGTGACAGCATCCCATATGGGCACTGGTTCAAATCCAGGCTGCTCCACTTCTTTTCCAGCTCTCTGCTATGGCCTGGGAAAGCAGTAGAAGATGGTCCAAGTCCTTGGGCTCCTGCACCCAGGTGGGAGACCTGGAAGAAGCTCCTGGCTCCTGGCTTTGGATTGGCGCAGCTCCGGCCACTGTGGCCAATTGGGAAGTGAAACAGTGGATGGAAGACCCCTCTCTCCCCTCTCTTTCCGTGCAACTCTGACTTTCAAGTAAATAAATCTTTTATTTATTTATTTATTTATTTATTTGAAAGACAGAATTACAGAGAGAGGTAGAGACAGAGAGAGAGGTCTTCCATCCACTGGTTCACTCCCCAGATGGACACACAGCAGGAGCTGTGCCGATCTGAAGCCAGGAGCTTCTTCTGGGTTTCCCACACAGGTATAGGGGCCCAAGGACTTGGGCCATGTACTACTGCTTTCCCAGGCCATAGCAGAGAGCTACATCAGAAGTGAAGCAGCTGAGTTTCGAACCGGTGCCCATATGGGATGATGGCACTTCAGACCAGGGCGTTAATCCACTGCGCCACAGTGCCGGCCCCAGTAAATAAATCTTAAAAACAAACAAACAAACAAACAACAAACAACAACAACAACACAGCTGCCCTATGCGTAAAATGATAACCAGATCCTAAAATTCATAGGGAAATGCAAAGGACCCAAAATGGCCAAAACAAGGTTGTAAAAGGATACAGCTGGAGGATTCTCACTTCTCGCTTGACCTGTCATAATCAAGACTGGTTATGGACACAAGAGTGGACACAGGGGGCCGGCGCTGTGGTGTAGTGGGGAAAGCCACTGCCTATAATGCTGGCATCCTATATGGGCACCGGTTTGAGTCCTGGCTGTCTCACTTCCAATCCAGCTCCTACTAATGGTGTGGGAAAAGCAGTGGAAGTGCTTGGGCCCCTGCCACCTGCGTGGGAGACCCAGAAGTTCCTGGCTCCTGGTTTCAGCCTGGCCCAGTCAGGATTGTTGTAGCCATCTGGGGAGCGAACCAGTGAATGAGAGGTCTCTCTCTATATCTAACTCTTTCAAATAAATAAGTAAACCTTGAAAAAATAACAGACACAGACATGAATGGAACATAATTGAGAGTCTCAAACCAAACCCACACAGTGAGGAGCAACTGATTCTCACAGGCTCCAGTGGGGGAAGGGCAGCCAGCAGGGCACGGTGCTGTCCAACGTGCAAAGGTACAAAGTTAGGGCCCTGCCTCACACAATATACAAAAATAAGTGTAAATGGATCAAATAACCTAAATATCAGGGCTCAAGCTGTAAGATTCTTAGAAGAAAACGTGGTTGTAAACCTTTAAACTTGGATTGGGCAATAGCTCCTTCAATAGCTGCAGTGCCAAAAGCATAGCAACCAAATTAAAAATAAATTAAAATAAATAAACTAGACTTAATCAAAAAAGTCTTGGAGCTGATGCTGTGCTACACAGGGTTAAGCCATCACCTGTGACACCAGCACCTCGTAAGTGCTGGTTCAAGTCCCAGCTGCTCCATGTCTTATCCAGCTCCCGGCTAACACACCTGGGAAAGCAGCAGCAGATGGCCCAAGTGCCTCCCACCCACGTGGGGACCTGGATGGAGCTCTAGGCTCCTGGCTTCAGCCTGGCCCAGACCTGGCCATTGCAGTCATCTGGGGTCGTTGTGGGGTGATTCAACAATGGATGCCCTCTCTCTCTCTCTCTCTATCCTCTCTCTGTAACTCTGCCTTTCAAATAAATAAATAAATCTTAAAAAAAAAAAACTAAAATATTTTGTGCTTCAAAGGATACTACTAAGAAAGTAAAAAGACAGCCATGAAAAGGGAGGAAATATCTGCAAACCATCTATGAGGGTCTACCATCAAGAACAGGTCCAGAACTCTCCAACTCAGGAACACAGAGAAAATCCAGTTTTTAACAAGAGGCAAAGGACTGGAGCAGACCTTCTTCTAGCAGAAGGCAACTGTTTACAAGAATGTGCATTCCTGATCCCACAGAAATGCATGGGTAGAGGGACATGCACAGACTCACACCTGACAGTGACGGTCACACACACACACACACACACACAGCTATATGTAAATACACATGGATTCAGACACACACAGAGCTACAGACATACGCAGTTACACGTATATGAATACACACACATAGTTCTATACAGATACATACATACATGGATACACACAGACACACTTGGATACACACATATACAAACACAGACAGGCAGACACAGACACACTGCTATATGCAAACACATGGATACAGATATGCATGGATACACATACATACACAGCTACATAAATACACAGATACAGGGGTGTAGATACACACATATACAAAGACACATATAATTCTACATAGACAAACATGGATATAGACATACACTCATGGATACACAGACACACACTTGGATACACAGACACAAACATGGCTACACACACAGATACACACACACACACACCCTACCTGCTCACTGCACAGCGATGCACCTGTGATATAATCAGAAGCCTCCCCCTGACAAAGTCTGGCCCCCACCATGGCCTCTGAGTGAAGGCAGATGCCCTGCCCTGCTGAGTGCTCCCCTGAGAACCTGCTCCTGGTTTTGTGTTGAGCTTAACCAATGGGGTTTCCACCAGCGGAACTGGTGTGGCCCTAACAGATAACCTCTGATACACCTGTGGGTCAGCAGCTCTGAAACCTGCTCACATGTCATTCCAGGTTCTCACATGGTCACCCATTCCATATGGGCTCAACGGAGTTCCTGAAGTGTATAGCAGCTTGACCAGGCACAAGAGTCCGCCTATGGCCACCCACTAGGGGCATCAGGATCCCGGGGCCAGAGAGGAGTCAGTGGGCCTACCTGGCCAGCGGCCAGCCTCATGATTCCTGGTGTCCACGGAACATGCAAAATGCCTCAGGGAAAGTCTGCCTTCCCTTAACAGTGGTGGTTTTTTTTTTTTTTTTTTTTTAACAGGCAGAGTGGACAGTGAGAGAGAGAGACAGAGAGAAAGGTCTTCCTTTTGCCGTTGGTTCACCCTCCAATGGCCGGTGTGGCTGGCGCGCTGCGGCCGGCGCACCGCGCTGATCCGATGGCAGGAGCCAGGAGCCAGGTGCTTTTCCTGGTCTCCCATGGGGTGCAGGGCCCAAGCACTTGGGCCATCCTCCACTGCACTCCCTGGCCACAGCAGAGAGCTGGCCTGGAAGAGGGGCAACCGGGACAGAATCCGGCGCCCCGACCGGGACTAGAACCCGGTGTGCCGGTGCCGCTAGGCGGAGGATTAGCCTAGTGAGCCGCGACGCCGGCCAACAGTGGTGGTTTTGAAGACATGCTGCACCCCAGGGTGGCTATGGGTGCCCTGGCACCTCGCACAAACCCTGCTCCCTCAGCTGTCCTCACAGGCCCAGGCCAGGCTCCTAGCCTCCTCAGATGGGTTGCCCATCCCAGAGGTCCCCATGATGGCCAGCACCAGGAGAAGAAACCTGAGAGCAGAAGGAATAGGGAAGATGATACCTCTAGGTTCCCTGCCCTATCACAAGTCCTGCACTGGCCACAGGGCAGGAGGCAGCACTGTGGG